ATATAGGCCTAGGCCTATTTAAATTTCCATTCATTTTGGTGTTTTTAGGCCCTGGAGTTCAAGCTATCGTTCGCGACCCAAGTTAGAGTCGCCAAAATATTTTGCAGGGTTGCCGGACGTTTAATGTTGTCGGTGACGAGTAATAGAACTTGTCATGTCTTCCTTTCTTTGTACACGTGTAACGGTGTGCGAAATATCGTTCCTGAATTGGGCTTTTATTCAACAAAGTGTTTTTCTTTTTCTATCATATTGAATTTGATTCTTATGTAATTTGTTTCTCATCGTTTACGCCTTACCAAATATTGTTACCTGCTAGGGCGTCCATACAACAACAAATCCCTGGTAGGACTAATCCTGTAGGAGTATTTTCAAACCAAACATGAAGTATACAGGCATAGGCCTAATCGTAAAAAAATCGATATTTTCTGTGTAATTTTACCATCCTATATCCAACAAATACCAAGGCTTTAAAGTCTAAAAACACTTCACCTGTAAAATCTTGGGTCTACTCATAATAAAAACAAGTCTCATGATAAAGTTTTCATTTTTAATCTATTATATCATACTTAGCTGAACCAAGTCTACCAATCTTTTCGCGTTTCATGTCGATTGGTGGATTTAATTCTGATCTGTGTGGGGTCACCTCTACTTCACATTGGCCCAGTGTTTTGGCCTTCACTTTATTTAAAAAATATTCATCGAATGTCATTACTTTTAGTTTCATTAAAAATATTTTCTTATTATTTTATTTTTTTTCTCGCGGGCCAGAATAATTTGCTTCACTGGCCAAACTTGGACCGCGGGCCGCCTATTAAGAACCAAAGGATTAGGACAATGAATATGTATTTTAAAAGCAATGCAGGTCTACGAACAAAACTACTCTAGCAGTTCGATATCTCACAACATTATTGAACAGTTACGAACGAAAGAAAGGTTGGAAGACATGGTTCCAATGATTCAGTTCTTCATTATGTAAAAAAATACAAATAATCGGTATTTTTTACAGATTGAAAATGCGTGCTTTTATCCTACTTGCTGCAATTGCAGTGGCTAGCGCCACCATCGCTCCACTTCACCCCGCTAAGGAGAGAATCCCAGGACGTTACATCGTCTCCCTCAAGGTTAGAAAAAAAATAGTTTGTTTTTCAATCGAATCCAAAATAATATTTATGCACGATGATTATTTAGACCTAAAAATACATGGATAAGCAAGATAAAAAGGGAGCAAAACCTGCACTCAGGTTCTATTCCTATGGCAACACATTAGAGTCTTCGTTGAAGCCACATTTAACACAATTCTAAGTAGTTCAAAACATATGAATTAGTCCATGAAGATTTTATTCTTTGCTCCATGATTAGTCTGAGCACGAGCCTAGCTTCACGATGATAAAGCGTACAGTGTTTATGCCTACTATGGTTTTATAAATTTCAATTCCATTTTTAGGATGGCGCAGACGTAAACAATTTTGTGACTTACGTCGCTACCAAACTGGCACTGCAGGATATCAAATTGGATATTAAGTTCAAGTACACTACAGTCCTCAATGGTTTCGCTGCTTCTCTTAACGACAAAGCCCTCAATCTGGTAAGAATTTGATGGAATCGCCAAAATTATTCTATATTTTTCCCGAAGCCAGAATCGTGTGTGCAGTTTTGGCCATTCCGGCGGGAGGTTGTTTGACTAATCTCAGCTCTTCTTACTGAATTTGAACCTTTAAAAGGCCTACGTAGAGAGGCAAAATAATATTATTACGATATTAATAATAATGCTTCGCGTTTAATTGATCATCGTTACCACAGGTACATTAAAAAAAGTGCCAAAAGTACATTCAAAAAGTGCCAATTACTGGACTGACACCCGGCAACTTTATTAAAATCATAAATCAACTACGGTAATACTTCTTTCAAAACAATTTGGGTCCTGACTTTCTGCAATTTAATTTACCGGGAGAATAACATTATAATTAAAGCGCCGTAATTATAGACTTGTATCATTGCTGCGATGTCGGTTAGGCGACGACGGTAGATCTAGACCGCACGATGTCACGCAGTAATCTGCGCTTGCGAGGAGTTTTTCGCAATAAGGGAGCTTTCGATTGCACGATGCAGTAGGACGTATAACGTAATGACGTCACAAAAATCAAGTGCGCATGCAAAAACGCAATTTGGGCCAAATCTACGTTGGGCAGAGAACGTAGGACGGTAACATATGAGTGAATCCGTTCTAGCGTCACGAATAAACACAGGGTGGTCACGGAGAAGTGAATCCGTCAAAATGAGAAACTGATGCGAAGTAAGCGCTGCCCCACAAATAATCAAATGGTGTAGGGTCGGTGGATGTATCTTTTTAACGGTCCTATAACCATAGAGAAAATAGAATATTTTCTCTATGCTATAACAGAGCGAATATGCTATGTTTCGAAACTATGAAGTGAAATTCACTGAACTTGCGAGAGGTTGTTATGTACGGTATGGTAGTTTGAGAAGGATAGTTATAATGCGTTCTCGTCGGGGGAGACCTGCTCTCTGTCGGGGAGTCCTGGTCCCTGTCGTGAAAAAAATGCAATTCGTAGGGTAGGAAAAAGTTTATATGTATTTTATACATATTTATAGTAGACTCTAAAATCGAGTAAATAACCATTTTAAACCTTTAAGTGGTCCGATCCCCATCATCGGGCAAACCCTGAGGCCTGCTTCAATGATGTGGCCATAGACTATTCATATAAACTGTAGGAAGAAATTCTTTTAATATCGTTTCATCTGTAGATCCGTAGCTTTCCAGAGGTAGAATACGTAGAGGAAGACGGCATTGCCAGGACACAGGCCGTGAGCTCCTGGGGACTCGATCGTGTAAATCAAAGGGACCTTCCTCTGGATGATATTGTTGGTCACACCAGTAAGGCAAACTATTTGAAAATCATATGTTACCATATACAATGCGATTTAGGCCTAAGGCAGAGAAATAGAGAAAACAAAGAGGAGACATACATGTATTATGTGTGAAATTATGAATATTAGAAAATAATTCACCGTTTGCTTTGATAAATAAAATGTAAAAAGACAGCAATAAACGACAGCTTTGAGTTAAAGACATAATATGAAGCAACATATTTTTATTAAATCACAATTCAAACACGACAGTGTGTTCTTCCTCAGTATGAGAACAACACACACACTTTCTAATTATGAATATTAGAAAATAATTCACCGTTTGCTTTGATAAATACAATGTAAAAAGACAGCAATAAATGACAGCTTTGAGTTGAAGACATACGGTAATATGAAGCAATATAATTTATTAAATCACAATTCAAACACAACAGTGTGTTCTTCCTCAGCATGAGAACAACACACACAGTTGTATATATTTATATATAATGATAATATATGACATTATATATATATAATGATAATGATGATGATAATAATAATAATAATAATAATAATAATAATAATAATAATTATAATAATAATAATAATATGTTTTTATTTGGCACGAAGGTGAAGTGGGGGTGGGGGGTGCACGAAGATCAGTTGAGGGGCGCATAATTCGCAAAATAAGGTGATTTTTAAACACTTGACTTGCATTATTTTTCAGGCGGAAATGGTGCCAATGCGCATGCGTACATCATTGATACTGGAGTCAACCCAAGTCATTCTGATTTTGGTGGCAGGGCCACTAACGATTACGGAAAGGTCGGCTAGTTTTATGTTGAAATATTATAAACTTGTACTCACTTACGCCTGATTTCCATAAAATCGCTACTCACTATCGGTGACGCTAATTGGTCGGTTGAATCGGGGACAGCCACGCAGTGCAATGATTGCAGTGAAAACGGTGTGGCGACAATGTAGCTATTTTATGGAAACCTTGCTTTATGTTACAATCACGCAAAACAGTAAATGCAATATATTATGTAAATTTTGCTGTATGAAAGTATTGACCATCTGAGTCACTGAAACTAGACCGAAAATATAAATATTATACTAGATCATGTAAAAAATGTAGGCCGCTTGCAAAGGTCCGTTCCGCCAAGTTCCCAAAAATGACAAGGTAACCGTCGTAAGTAAACACGTCGTTTTGTGGGATCTGGGCGTGTCCCTGGCCTGTTTTAATTTATTCAGTTGATTGACACCCCGGAAAGTACAATAGATCATGCCACATATGTCGTATGTGATTTCTTTATAGGAAGATTGCAACGGACATGGTAGCCATTGTGCTGGTACAATTGGTAGCGCTACCTATGGCATTGCCACTGGAGCTACTATTCACGGAGTTCAAGTTCTCGGTTGTCTAGGATCTGGTTCCTGGTCTGAGGTTATCAATGGTACTATTTATTATCTAAAGTTTACGCATTTTTACAAACTTTTTACATGCACATTCTAGCAGTTTAGGACGACAGTAGAACCCCTATTAACGGGACAGGGGACCGAAACAATCTAATGAGTGGACACTAAACTAAAAACGTGAAATTGTCATAGGCCTACAACGATGCTATAAATTAATATTAGATCTATATCTATTGACCATAAATAAACCAAATTGTAACAATAATTTGCAATGCAAACAAGTGACAAATAACATATGAAATTAAGACAAAAGGGTTAAATACATTATTAATTAATGACAAATATGGATGGAGTAATGACTCAGAAATCAGAGTGGTTCGGGTGTGATTTAAATCCTTTATGAGAGTACAAGGAAAAAGTCAAAAATGAATCCAAAATTGGGTCAAAATTGACAAGATTGGTTTATACGAAATACCATAACACATGAGCCTAGACCAATGTCCGTTTCAATGATCAAGTAAAATAAGATTGGCTTGATGTTATACTTTTGGCTCACAAGTTGTCAATAATTTTTTGATGACAATGTTATTTTGAGTCTATTAATTGTATGAGTCTGTTGAGTGATATGATGTCAAAAACATGTGTCTCAATATTAGGGGTTGAAAATGTGTTAATTTGACCATTTACAACACTCAAAAAGTGTCCCAGTCCCCTTAATAGGAGGTCCCGATAATAGTGGTTCACGAAAGTTTCCCTTGAATAAAGGTGTGCCAAAGTTCTGCTGTAGTTACATTTTGTGTTGATTCCGTGTGTGTGCCGGGTGTCTGCGCGGGCTTAGGCCTACGTAAGTATAATATGTATGCGAATGCGAACGGATGTGTAGACCACTGTGCGCCCAGGGTGGTACGGGGGGGGGGGGAATACATCTCAAATCGCCATGGAGAGTAATCATAAAAAAATCTCTCATTATTGTTTTGGTCATCAGGTTGTGACTGGGTAGCCAACAATCACATCAAACCCGCCGTCGCCTCTCTTTCACTTGGCGGCGGATCGTCTCCGACCGTCGACCGTGCTATGACTCGAATGAGGGCTGCTGGTGTTACCGTATCTGTTGCCGCAGGTAACAGCGACGCTGACGCATGCGACTACTCCCCAGCTCGTTCTACTGACGTAAGTAATCATTAATATTATAATTATCCATATCTTTATAGTCATTCGCAGGATTTACATTTCAGTCGATTAGAGGTGAATGAGTGTCAAGAGAACAGAAACTCAAGCTCACAAGTGGTTCTGGTGGGTAAAGCCGATCCCCTAAGGATTTTTAATAGTATACATGGGTGGGAGAATAAGTTTCAATGTTAGAAAAGGTCCACTAATGCAGTTTAAGCACGCGCAGCGACGTCTTTCATGAGCAGGCTTGCTGAATTGCCTTAAGCCGTATATATCCGATTGGCAGGAAAATCACTGTCACATGAGCTTTGTGAAGTAAACCACGCTAGTAGTGATATCCTTACTTAAAGAATGGAAGAAATATATTAAGATAAAGTAGCGTATTTTGTAATGGTGTAGAAAGAAAATTATTATACAGTAATTAATTGTATTATCAACGTATGGCATACTTTCAGATACAGGATGGAGGGAAGCATCGTTTATAAAGTTCCATTATGACGCAAAAAAATTGCTAGCCTCGTTTTCAAGTTTGTATCGTATTCACATGAAACCCACTTTCCATAAAATCGCTACGCGCTATCACCGACTTTTTCGGGACATCTACGCAATGCAACGATTGCAAAGAAACATTATAGCGACAACGTAGCGGTTTTATGGAAATAATCTTAAACAGGAAACAGTCTGGATTAAATAAAATCGCACATGTGGCGCTAACTGGTCAGTCGTATAGCTTAAGGCCTGGTTGAAAACGACGTAGCGACAGTGTAGCGATTTTATGGAACGAACGCTTATTAAACTTATGTTTCTCCCAGGCCATCACCGTTGGAGCAACTGACTCGGCTGATATCCGTGCTTACTTCTCCAACTACGGATCTTGTGTGGATATCTTTGCTCCAGGTGTTTCCATCACCTCTACATGGAAAGCATCACGCACCGACACCGATACTACCAACACTATCAGCGGAACTTCAATGGCTTGCCCTCATGTTTCAGGTAACAACAACAACAACAACAACAATAATAATAATAATAATAATAATTATTATTATTATAATAATTATAATTATAATAATAATTATATTAATAATAATAATAATAATAATAATAAAAATTATTATTATAATTAATATCATTAATAATAATAAAATAAATGATAGGCCTACTAATAAACGACATGTCACACGTCATCACTAGGCAATATTTTTGTTGATTTATTTTATGCCGTTTCTCAAGACATAACTAATATATAGTTAATATTTACATAAAGAAAACATCAGAAACAAGGATGAACCATAAAATCAAAATAAATCAACTTACAATAGGGTGACGACCTAGGTATTCTTACTTTTATTGTTTATGACATTCATAAGAATAAAATAATTTTATCGTGGATATTTGATGGAATTTCACTGAAAGTATTCTAAACAAATTTATTTAAAAAGGTGTTGCTGCTCTCCACCTGTCGAACAACCCTTCTTGGACCCATGATGAAGTCTCAAGCCAGATTCTAGCGGACGCCACCCCTAACAAGATTACTGATGTTATGGAATCGCCAAACCTCCTTCTTTACGCTGATTAATTGGTAAGCGCAGTATTATTTTCGACAGATCTGTGAATAGATTGACGAGTCTAAAGGTCTGTCCAGACTGAAAATAACTTGATTAAATATGCAGATTATCCTCTATTTCAGGCCTTAAGGCCAACTCAGACAGCGTCGTACGACGCAGCCCGACGCGATTTGTTGTCGCGTCGGGCTGTGTGAGTTAAACGCAGACGCGATGGTGTGCGTCGGTGGCAGTCGCGTCGTAGATTATTAAACATGTTTAATATTTCTCACGACGGCTTAAGACTGTCCCCGATGATAAATTGGGTCGGGCTGCGTCGGCCGACGCTGTCTGAGTTGGCCTTTATACATCAAGGAGACCAACTCTTTTAGATTGGGTTAAACAATTTGAAACGTGATGAACAGATAATTATCTTCAATTAAATGCCTCTAAAACTAAAGAAATTATTTTTGATTTTCCCAAGAATAAAACGCCATTGTAATGTTATTAGTGT